GAACGACTGTCGTCGACTGTCGGGTCGAGATTTCTATGCGGCAGCTGTGCTGTCATCGTTTAGAGCACTCCTCAATTCGACGGTTCGTATCGGTTTGATTACCTTCGTATGATTAATTCATATCTCTTCAGATGCTGTTCTTTAGATTGTTATTCTGGATAATTTATGAATCATTCGGCCAATCGTTATTTTTTTCTCAGAAGGCCATTAGCGAGGAACTATTGATAAAAGCATCGCATCAGATCACCGAATGAACCATAGCTTTGTTTTAGAATTACAAAATAAAAAAAAGATGTGGTAAAGTAAAATGCATTAAACTGAATTTTCTCGCATTGGAGTTATTTTTATTTCAATTGATATACTACGGTCACCTTTTTAATACAAAACAACGACTATTCAGGTGCACATTATGAATATTAATTATCCGCCAATCAATAGAATTACTGAACAGGGGTTACATTCATATTGAGTTCATTCGGATTATAAGATTTGCATCACTTNAAACTCGTCTACTGAATTTTTTTTCATAAATGATATTGCCCAATGATATCATCTCCCTATTGGACTTAATGTATTTTGTTCTCTCCAAAATTGTTTCGGCTATTCAAGTAATGACTGTTTTGTGGAGTTATCCAATACAATTTAAGTATATCGAAAAGAAAGTTTAATCAAGATAAGTGTAGAATGAGGCCAGCAATTAACTTCGAGATACTTTAGTTGATTATTTGAAGAAAGTTGCAGTTGATGAGGTTGACCAATCAGTGCAATTAAACCGAAACATACATTCGACGAATTGTTTGATTGTTGCTTGCATTCATTGAATTCCATTCATCAAAAGACGTTTTCAATGATTAAATATTCAGATTGGTCGCAGTGAAGTGCTTCTATCGAGTGACGTTCTACTAGCGATCGCATCTTCTCAATATTTTCATTACGCAAAATGCAAGGTATGTATGGAAAATTGAACATTTTATTTCATTTCTGTAGTTTTTGATGCGAAAAAAACTCATGCTTTCATGAAATTTTCACGTGCAACCAGTGACGTTGTTGATTTGTACTATCACTACGCTTTTTTCTTAATCATCTTATATTTTTTATGTATTTTCATATCTATGAGATCAAAAACAAAACCGTACCAAGCTGTAGCGTTAATCGTCGTATCAAATTCATTATTTAGTATTAGCAACAACCAAATGATTCTTGTTTTTCATACTTCTTCCAATTGAAATGAGAAGTTTTGTTAGAACCGATAAGCACAATTGTTATTTCTATAAATCATAAGTTACAAGTCAACAAAAGAATAGTTCAAGTGCGACACGAAGAATGCAATGTTTATTAAGAAATAATGACGCGAACTGTACTCAGGATTGTTCTACTTTTACTGTTCATGTGAATGTTTTTTGACCTTGTTTTGACCTGAAAATCACCTTGTTTTTAACACTTATCAATATGTTCTTACCATATTTTGTTGTGGGGCGATGCACNATGTACTGATCGAATTGCTCTTCTCCTTCCCTGAATTTTCCGTGTGCCCTGTCGAAAGTCACGAATATCATTCATCTAACGCAATTTGTTGCTGATTGATTTCTAACACAACTGTTGCATAATTGGAATAATTGTTAATTTGGTAAAGGTTAATGAAGAGACTATGAACTGTGTAATGATTATGGTTATATAATACTAATGAATGAATGAATCTACTCAACGGGGTTCTACCATATGTTCCCCCTAATTGAGAGCATTCCCGTTTGATCATCATCGTTGTAATCGTTCTCATTTAGTCCATCTTACATCATCATTTATCTCATCTATACCTTATTAGTTTCATCTATCTTTCTTTTCGTATTATTCACACCAACGGTGCGAGTTGCGCTTCTCACTTTCAACTTTATTTCATAATTTGATTCTATTTCCAAGTTCATTCACAATTTTGAAATGTTTTGATCTATTGCTTATGTACACATTCGATATTTCATTCATGCAGATGAAAATCTTTTACAAAATTTCATGTTTCATTGTTTTCATAAACTTCATCCATTGATTAGAGTGATGAGCACGAAATCTCATTTCTGGATCAACTTCGTAAACTTTATGAAAAATTCATGGATATTGTTCAGTTTTTAGACGATAAGTTTATACGAGTTTCAGGTGTTATGTCTTGAAATCCTCTCGGGAATATGTTTGATCAACGATGGTCACGAGAAAGTGTTGCGTGCACTGAGTGAGGCGAGTGTGATTCTCGGTGAGAGGACCCGATTTCAGACGATTCTCAACGATCTACATCGGAATTATCGTTCTGAACGCGAAACCGAGCGAGTTCGCACGGCTGCTATGAGCCTTATTAACGCTCTGCTTAGTACTGGATCAGCTGAAGTATGTTAATTGGGAATCAATCGCCCGTCTTGTGTGTATGCCAGTTATGGGTTTCAAATGACTGCACTGAATTTCAGAATTCCTTAGAGGTTCGTATGCATTTGAGAGTCGAAATGCTAACGCTTGGTCTTCAAGGTGTACTCGATTCAATGCGGGACTCTTCATCGTCGACACTTTCCGATCATATCGATTTCTTTGAAATGAGTCGGCAAGACGACGAGCAAAATTTCTTGAGGTAACCACTCGTTGTTCTCCACTGGACGAACCCTATGCTCCAATATGCTGACCGCCTTAAAAGGCCAACTGCTGAGGATGAATCTCTGATTTGTAATGATGACACTCGATGATATTTGGTTGATAAAAGTTCAAAGTCTAGCAAAGGAATTTCATTTACAATTACAGATCATATTGCATGCCAGCCAAAAAAGCAAGCGTAACTGAATTGCAGCAATGCTTTTAGTTCTCGTCATTTCTTTCAGAGATGAATCGCGGAGTTCTACACCAATAGATTTGGATAGTGCAAGCGAGATTGCCGAGTATATCGCCAACCGATTGGCGTCAACTCTGGCTCTGCCACACTTCCTATCAATGCTTCAACATCTTATTCATATCCCTGTTGATGAGAAAAGCATTCATATTTGGAGGTGATTATAAACGCTTGAGACGTTGTGCATTTTTGTGATAGCCAGCGATCAAAATGGCTGCGAATTCAGATTCATGCACTTCTTTTCAGGCTCTTCGACATGATCCTACAGCATTTGAGCCTACAAACAACACTGAATGCAGTTGTAGCCGCAGATTTAACACAGTCAGTCGTTCAGATTGATATGGATGAAGTTCTATCAAGGTGAGACGATCAATTAAACTGACTTTATCTCTCCGAAATGACTCTTTTGATAGTCGTATGCCTTGAAATTTATGATCAGTATTGATAAAATGTGTATTGCATAGGTTACGAACTCAACACGATTATGATAAACTGAAAGAAGCGCATGATGATCTGGAAGAGGAACTGAGAAGAGAACGGAACAATTCTTTGGAGCTACAAACTCGGCTAAGTGATCCTGATGGACAATCCCTGTATTCAAGGTCTTTTAGATGAATTCATCTTTTTCATTCTAAATACCTCAGTACAACAATAAAATTTCTGAGCTATAAACGATCAACCTTTCAATGTCAACTTGCGATTATAATAAGTTTAAATTTTGACTGTTCATTGTTCTATAAGAATATTTTCCAACCAGACAACTTAAATATTGATTTGGTCAAAGCTGGTTATTGCCGTGATTCTTACTTACGCAGTTATCTGTCAAAGTGATATCAGCGTGTTCATCGCTATGTTCTGTCATCGCCATTTCAACATAATATATCTAAATTGAATCAACTGTTATTAAGACCTTTACTACTGCGAATGAGTATTTCATTGTAGAATGGCTCGTCGATTTATTTTACTTGAATGTTTCAGACTCAGTGGAGAGTCTTTCTCACCAAGCGATCCCAGCCATTCACCTCGGTCCTTATCCCTACCACCGATTTGTCCACCGATTGGCGCTCCCCCACCGCCGCCTCCACCTACCTTGGATCAACTGCGAACATTTGGTGATGGACATGCGACGAGTAGACGTGGCGCTCAATGCACACTGAAGAAGAATGTGCCGAAACCGAGTGGTCCCATGAAATCGTTGAACTGGACTGCAATCGCTGACGACAAAATAGCCGGTACGATTTGGGAGAAGATTGACGAAGAGAAATTGTATCAGCAGGTTGAAATTCCATTCAATTATTACTCTACCACTAACTTTCCATTATGTAATTCATTGTAGAAGGGCTCGATTTGTTTGCACAGCTGACAGCGATTGAATTAGTGAGTACCGATTTTCAGCTCGATTTGGCCGAGTTATCAGAGAACTTCTCGATGGCAAAGGGTGTTGTTGAAGAAGCTGAATCAGTGAGTGAAACGTTACGACGTCGAAGCAAAGCATCGTCTGCTTCAGCGATCAGCGTCATCGAGCCAAGACGTGCACAAAACTGTACGATAATGCTGTCAAAGTTGAGGCTGTCCAATAAACAGATTAAGAAGGCACTCCTGTCAATGGATCAATATGATGAATTACCTCGAGACATGTTAGAACAGGTGCTCCAAAATTCTTTCCAGCTTTGGCTCATTTCTATTGATTCTGGTAAATGCTGATTAGCGATTTCCGGTAATTGTGGACGATACTCTCTTTTAATTCAGTGTTGAATTCAAAATGTTTTCTGTGTCAGTTTAATATTTCATTTCACTCTTAAGCGGTTTAATTGCTCCGCATCCAGTTCTATTTTGTTATATTTCCAGATGCTGAAGTTCGTTCCGACCAAAGAAGAGATTGCGCGTTTGAGGGAAACCGTTCAAAAATATGGCGGCTCCTCATCGATACTAGCAATTGCTGATCGTTTCCTCTATGAAGTTAGCAAGTGAGTTGGATGATTTATCATTCTTAAACGCGACATTTCTTCTTCTCGGATGATCAATATTTCATTGCATTGTAGTATATTGCAATAACATATCTCACCACTATCAGTATAACTCTGTTTCTGTTTATGTCGCAAAATCGTGCGAAAATTTTCGGCTGATTGGCTTGTGTCATTTTTGACATTTCTCTTTCAATAGTTGAAATGAGTAATTTGACGGAAATTTGGTATTTCCTTTGTAATTTTTCAGTATCTCTCGATATGAGCAGCGACTACGATGTTTATTCATCTTAACAACTTTCAAAGAAAGACTCGATGATGTTTCTACAAATATTCAAGGTATTTCAAATCATTGCTGAAATCCCGTTGGTTTTGAGTAATTCTTTAACGGACATCCTCGCAATACTTTAACCTGTTAGAAACTTAGTTTGATATATTGCATTCAGTCGCTCTTTCGAGTGAAACGAGTGTTTTTCTTTTGATCTTCGATGATTCATAGTCACGCAACCTAGCAATTGATTGACTGTGAATCACAGTCAATGCTCAATAAGCATTCGATTCGATACCTCCATAACAATGAAAATTCGTACATTCTTGCAATCAGCTTATGAAGGAATTCAAATTGCAGCCATATCGAACGCTTCAACATCCGTTGCCGGCAGTAAACGTTTCAAGTCTCTTCTTCGACTGATTTTGGCAGTAGGGAATTACTTGAATTATGGGAAACGTAATGGCAATGCTTCAGGTTTGTTATGTTAATCCGAATAGTTTGAAGCATACGAAATGGTGTTCATATCCAATTAAATACGTAGTATTACCACAAATTTATTTAAAACTGGTGTTTCTACCATCCGTATGAAGCAGTGTCTTAAGAGAGAATACATGTGGAACTTGAGATAATCCATAAGAGTTATGCGTTTTTGAAAACTTGAGATAACGTTTTAAAAAGCTTTCGAAAGGATTTGAAAAAGTGTGCGTTTACTTCTTCTCTATGAATTGCAACTTAAAGTAACTGTTGAGTAGGATTTGAAACTGCCGATTGAATAATAACATTAACAATCAAATCAAACTGGAAAATTTTGATGTTTTTGAAGGATTTACGCTGGATTCGCTACGTGTCTTAACGGATGTACGTTGCTCGTCGCGATCT